AAAGTTCTGTCCCAACATCAGTCTGACAGCCTGAGATCTGCCTTCTCATAGAAATCAGTGGAAGTGCATCACACTGGAAAGTGTTTAGTTGATTGAGTTGAGTTTTAAATGAAATTGTATGAAAGGTATGAGCGTGGATTTTTCTTGGTCACTGTACAACTGTATCAATTAATAAGTTTGCTTGGTTTTAGGTTGTACTTTATCTTCATCAAACTCACTTTGTTTGATTCTGTTTTCTGATTCAAGGAAAAAACACTTTCTTCTTATTTAACACATTGTTTTGTTTTTCCTATTCTGAAGAAGAATGCAGAGGATTACTAGAATATAGACTCACTTAAATAATTGTGGGTATATTTTTTCTTCATGAAACTGATTAATGTTTCTAATATCTTAAACTCAACCATTCATTTCACCATAAAATTCAGAAACAAAAACTTCCTGTTGGCTCTATTCTACTTATACTTTGATGGAGTAAATAACAGACATTTTAGAGGTCAATTACATGGTTTCTTAAAAATATATTGGATATGCTGAAAGTTAATGATAGTTTTATATAAAATAGGGCATCATCATTTCAGTTAATGACACTATTTGACAAGTCCTAGAAAAAACCGCAGAGAACAGAATGCTGCACAACAGCATCAACTACAGAACAGGAGGAACAAGTTTTCAACTGAAATGTTTCCTTGTTGGTGTTAACTCTCTAACCACAAGATTTATGATGTACGATGAGCTTCAATTTGTGATCAAAGCACCAGTAAGAAACTTTATAATCAGGAACTGATTATAAAGTGAACTGACTACAGAGATTGTTGGCTGTGATGGATTTTTCATGAAGTCTTGCAAAGTGTCTAATATCTCATAATGTTCTAGTGGACAGATACTCAAAGTACAGCAGTCTCCTCTACTAACGCTTGTCTGACTTTATTCAGCTGACTGATTTAAAACAGAAAATAGTGGAGAAGCTCCTGATTTTTTGCAGCAAAACTGAAGAATGATCATAGACGACATGTGGAAGACTGATTTGTGTTTTCCTTGCAGGTTAAAAAGGAAACCGTGTAAGCCGATGTGGATGGAAATCCAGCAGCATGATTAAGGGCAAGAAGAAAAGGTCAGATGATAATTGCAGGCTCCTCACAACTTTTACTTCATACACAGTTCATATTAATAAATAACACAAATAATTCCTCAGTATTCTACATATGTTTTCATCTATATTTAACAAACAGGTCACATAAGTGTTCTAATTTTAGAATACAGTTAAAATTGTTTAATGGACATATTTTAATTTTTAAATGTGTTCAGCTGATGGATGTGATATTCATTTCCATGTCTAAAACCATAAATGTGGTTCAACAAACTACAACATGGCCACACTAGAATAAAGTAGTGACAGCAAAGTAACAAGGTAAATATTTACTGGCAGATTAGTCCAGAAAGGAAGAGGAAGGTGGAAAATTGTTGTCTAACAGGAAGTAAGTCAGAAACCTAAAAGACCAGAACAAAAAACAGAAGGTAAAAGAGCTCTCTTTAAATAAGAAAATTATATTAATATAATTCTTATTATTTGCACACAAAAGCTGGCAAGATCTCTATTTTTTACCAGTAAAGTATATTTACTGGACAGAGTCAGATATTCTAGTTTTAAATTCCACATTTCAATAACATTGATTATCCAGTATTTATAGAATCTCATTCAACATATTTTATTCAGGGGGTCAAAACATAAACCTGGTAATGTCTCCCACGACAGTGAGGCATCCATCACTAAACCCACTGAAAACAGTGATGCCTCCAAAGACAGGCCTCTCGACATCAGACCAGAACAACCTTCATCCTCAGACAGGTGAGCTGATTGTGATTGGGTAAAATTTAATTAACATACATCTATATGGCTGGGTGGGTGGCTGGCTGGCAGGCAGATCAGATGAAATTTTGACACTTTCAAAACACGTTTATTTGACAATTTGCCATTTATTCTGTTTTCAAACCATCTTACATAAAACTTATTTACAATTTTATTTTGTCTCAGAAATCTTTAATGAATCTAGAGTTCAATGCAATTGTCTGTCCACTGTCTCCTCATAGGATGTGTAACACGATACAATCAGCCTGATTCATTTAACAGATCAATAACTGATGTTTAATGATCAACTGTACAACTACATTGTATGAAAACTTAAGCTGACTTTCATCTGATGTGACTATATGATTGGGTTGTAATACAATTTGTTTTATTCAAATATTTACTAAAACACATTCACAATGATACTTATTAAGATTAACACCAAAGAAATGTTTTGTGTTTAAATGTCTATAATTGCTGATACAGTAACTCATCCATAATGTGTCCATAAGTGTTCTAATTTTAGAATACAGTTAAAATTGTTTAAAGGACATATTTTCATTTTTAAATGTGTTCAGCTGATGACTGTGATATTCATTTACGTGTCTGAAACCATAAATGTGGTTCAATGAACTACAACATGGCCACTTCAGAATAAAGTAGTGGGAACAACGTCTCCAGTAATAGGTAACAAGGTAAAGATTTAATGGCAGATGAGTCCAGAAAGGCAGATGAAGGTGGAAGATTGTTGTATAACAGGAAGTGATTTGGAGACCTTAAAGACCAGAAC